AATTGGAGAATTTTGACAATTTCTTTAATTTACCTGATGATAAACAATTCTATTTAACTGGAGATGGACGAACTTTCTTTTCTCTTTATAATGGAATATTTTCTGCATAAGTGGATTAATTCCACGGGCCGTGATAAGCTTGCGAATACAAGAAACACAGGCCACATATATAGCCATTTTTTGAAATGCTTATTATTCTTCTGTCTGTTCCGTTCCTAAATAACGCATAAGCGGGACGTATAGTTTACAAAAAAGTGTATTTCTACATGACTTACATTCACTAAGACCTTCTTTACAGTACCTTCGCGGTAACATATGCGGACACTGCTTAAACGCCAATGTGAGTGGTGCTGTTTAAACAAAATGTGATTAACTTTTTTGTTACTGCATTTCGTGCGACAAAACTTCACTGGTCAGCTAAACATGATATTTAAAATATAAATCTGCCTTGTTTCTGCAAATAGACGCGATTCCTTAAACTTGACTTCACTTCCATTTGAGCATCTTCGGACAAAATTTTCCATTTCTGGAAGGGATAATTTTTCCACTTGTTTTACTTATTCTGGAATTCTTCCATGGCACAATGCATATTAATAAAAAGTTTGGTTCTGTCATACCTTATAACATAGGAAATTTCTTCAATATAAACTTACTCATGATGTAGCCAAAATTAGTGCCTATTTCGCTCAATAACTTTAACTAAGAGGGCATTTTTCCAAACTACCGCCTTTCTTATTTTATTAAGTCCACTCACTTGCTCAAAATAACGTGTCCAAATATATGCTTAACTACAAAGTAAAATTTCGTCATGAAAGTTGCGTGCAGGACTTGCCATACTATATGCACGCAAGATTTACCACTAGAACTTCACAGCGATAATCACCTTTGTACCACCCAATCCCGAAACATGGCCAGGCAATGCACGGGCCTGGTTTGTCTTACACAGTAGGTAGCTTATTTCATTAAACGTTAATTGCAAATCCCAAATATTATTTCGTTTAGAAAGGATTGCTTCGATGAGGCTGTAATATTTAGTGTCATGTAGCATCATCTGGTGATATTTCGGTCACGTCAGAGTGCCGGCTTTCAAGTGTTCGCTTTTTCTGTAGCCCACAAAAACCACACTCGTTAAAAATGATTACTTAAGTAGTAATAATTTTCATTTTGATTTTCACTGTTCTTATTAATCCAAATATTTTATGGAAAACATGTTCCAAAATGTCCTTTCATACTTGTGGCAGCTGAACTACCATGTCACCATGTTGATATATTAAAGGTGTCTGGCGTCTCTTTATAGCATTGACGCCCTACTGTCACTGAATTTTCATATTGGCGAGTACTTGCAACACCTACTCACCCTTGTTTTTATCTTAGTTAGATTTTGACACCATGTAACATTTCTCGTGCCAACCTTTTTAAAACTCCCGTCTCCGCACGGAACTTTGTAACTAATAATTCCCTGTTGTGTCTTGTTGACTTTCCGTAAAGGCAACTGGACAATTTGTCTTTAGGTGGAACTTTTTAGGCAATTGAAACCTTGCTGCCGCCTAGAATACAGGAATCGGAGGCAACCCTCAACTTTCCCTTTTTCCTGTTTCCTGTTTCTGTACCCCTTCCAGGGTCATCCATTTAGCTCTTTCGCTAATAATTCAGCTCTTTCTCATGCGAAATCTGGAAAAGCTGCTCGGTTGGTTACGAGTCGCACTCATTTACATCCTGTCGGGTTGCTTCTCCAGTCTGGCTTCCGGAATCATGCTTCCCTACCACGTACGTATTTATCTTCCTGTACTTAATTGAGTTTAACTCGCCGACTCCCCTCTCCCTGCTTTCATGTCCTTGATATTTTAAAGTTTCCACATTCTTTTCAAACGACAATTGAGCCGCGTAGATGCGATTCCAAAGTATTAGGCGTTTATTTCCTCCTTTCGGTAAAATCTCGAGTGGGTGGGTTGGTCCTCGACTTTCCTCGTTCAAGCTTTTTGTCAGGTCCTGTCGGCACTACTGTTTTCAATGTTTTTCTAAAACTTTTATCTACTTGTTGGACGCTTTTCACGCCCTACATACTTTGATTGTTTTAGGTTAACACGGGACCGACGGGTGCTCATTTTGCCCTTTTTGGTGTCGTATTTGTTGACTATCTTCAAACTCATGAAATTTTCACTTCTCCCTGGACAGCCATCCTGCAGCAATCTCTGCCAATCTTTGGCGTTCTTTTTGTGGGCTTCCTACCTTGGCTAGACAACTACGCCCACGTCTCGGGCTTTATCTCTGGGGTCCTCCTCTCCTACGTGTTTGTGCCCTATCTTGGTTTCGGCTGCGTCAAACTCCCCCCAGAGATCCTCGCCGCAAGTCGATCTATGACAAGAAAGAAAAAGAAGAAAGGCATGAAGCAAAAAGTTGAAAATAACAACCAAGGAAAAGGAAATGACAAAGGAGAAGGGAAGAAAAAAGGAAGGGGGAAAAAAAGACAAAAACTTCTCTCAGTTTCTGGAACTTTTGGTGACGACGACCACTCAGAGCGCACTGCTGCTCAATTGGAGGCCTTGCTATGCCGAATGAAGAATCGGCGATTGAAGGTTGTTGTTTGCTGCGCCCTCCTTTGGACTGCACTTTTCATTACTCTATTGGTTGTCTTTCTTAAGTGTCCACTCACAAGCTGCGCCTGGTGCAAGTACCTCAACTGTTTGCCCTTCACAAACACCATGTGCGACAAACTTGAGGTTGACGTCCACAATCCCACGCGCTGCATTCATCCGCACGCATAGTATCTGGCTGCTCTTTCTACTAAAATTGGTGTTCCTGCTCTTCGTCAAAGCTGTGAATAGGAGTAGTATTATGGATCCCTGTCTTCCAACAGACTCTTGTATTGCTGTTAAAGTGCCTTAGCCAATAAAATCCCTGTTCTTTTCATTTCAAAATTCACCCATTGTTCGTTGCGTCGCATAACTTGTTTGCATGTGTGGTGTAAGGAACTTAATTAAATACTCTCGAGGGATAGACACTGAGTATGTAGCTAACTTCTAGGAAAAAAAGCTAAATATAGTGGGGCTCGCGTGCTTTGTTGCCTGTCCTTTCGCTAGAACCCTAAGTCTAACCTTTTATTTCTGGTGTTTTCTGTATTTTTTGTGTGAAAAGTTCTGTTTCATCAGCCTTGGTGTCTTGCAACACGGAAGGCCCATCAAAGCAGCCGAGGGATTCTGAAGGTTTAAAGTAGCCAATGATCACTGACGCCGGATATTCGGCAAACTCCAACTTTGCAATAGCCTGGGAATGTTAAAAGAAATGTCAGGGAATATTAACAAAGTAAAGCAATGTCAAACTGGCTATTACGTGTGACATGTCGGTTCCTCGCCCCATCAGTAACACCTTTAAAGCCTGTTGATCGCCATTCAAGGCGCTTTAGCTGCTTACTGGCAATTGCGATAGGTATACATATACTTATCTGAATTGGTGTCATAGTTTCTTGTCTGCAGCATCGTTTACATGTTTTCAGAACCACTCAAGCCGACTCCAAATAATGTATTTCATATTGCTAATGATATAATTTCTCTCAATGTCACGTAAATTTGCCTAAATGCTTTAGGATGACTCGGTATTTCATAGTCAAATAAGTTTGCGTTACTGCCGTACAGCATTGATTAAGTGAGTTCTTCTTGCCGTTTGCCGTCCTGGTTCAGGATAAAAGGGCCCCGGTTCTAAGATGGATGGATGACTGCTTAACCGACACTATCCGATAAGTGTTACCAGCAAGAAAAAGGGGACGGATGGCTTTGATGGATAATCATGATTTAATCGCGACACCCAAGGTATGGAGGGCTCTGCTTCGGCTGATGACTGTGGAGGCACTTTATTATGGATACACAGGTTAACTGTCGACTACAATAGAAGGAATCTAAGGTCGTGTGAGACCGGTGTTGACCTATTTGTCCTAAGTGAGACGCACGAAATGACTGATTCCAGATCCAGGGAAAACCGGTACAATTGTAGCGACCCCCTTTATTCTTAGTCATGCTTTCCTCGGACACCGCGCTGACTAGGTTATGCCTGGCGTGACCACCACGCGTTCGCAAGACGCCATAGTCAAAGCCCCACTCAAGGTCGGGACTTGTCTGGTCTCACTAGCCAATCACATCTCAAGGTGAGACCAGTGCACTTTCTCCTGCAGGGAAGTTGTTTACGTTCAGACACTTCCAGGCCCGACGACCTACTGTTCGTTTGCAGACCTCCAGAGCCGGTGATCGACTTTCCGGAATGCCACTCTGGACTCCGGCCCACTT